AGGGTGGCCACTACCCCCTCATCAAGGTCATTGATGAAGATGTTGAACAGGACCGGTCCCAGCACCGACCCGCGGGGAACACTGCTGGTTACAGGTCTCCAACCAGACTCTGCACCGCCAACAATGACCCTCTGCGCTCTGCCAGTCAGCCAGTTCTCAACCCACCTCACTGTCCACTCATCTATCCTGCACTTCCTCAGCTTCGTTATAAGGATGTCATGGGAGACAGTCTCAAATGCCTTGCTGAAATCAAGGTAGACCACATCCACTGCTCTCCCCCCATCCACCCAGCCAGTGACAACATCATAGAAGGCTACCAGGTTGGTCAAGCACGACCTCCCCCTGGTGAATCCGTGCTGACTACTCCTGATAACCTCCTTTTCTTCCAGTTGTCTGGAGATGGCATTCAGCACAATCTGTTCCATCACCTTTCCAGGGACAGAGGTGAGGCTGACTGGCCTGTAAGCAGCGCCATCAGAACAAGCAGCGTCACCAGGACGAGAGGTGCCACCCTGGGCATCCCCATGGCACCATTACCTGGCCAGCGCGGAGTAGCGTGCCATCAGCTCACCGTCCAGGCTCTCAGCCAGGCTGAGCGTTTGCGCGGAGTCGCGGCCGATGTAGTCGAAGCCTTCGGGGAGGAAGACGAGGCAGGCGCCCCGCCGTGCTGCCGCCCGCACCAGCGCCGCGCAGCCAGAGAAGTTCTGCTCCTTGTCAGGAGTGGAGGTCACCTGGCCCACGGCCACCAGCGGCTTCGGTCCCAGGGCCGCTGCCATGGCTCGGTGGCTGTGACACAGCGTGGGTCAGCCCCGGGGATGCGGTCACAGTGGTTGTGTGTCCCCACCCCACTGCCACCCATATGTGAGTACCTGCCCAGGGGGCTCCGGAGGCCTGGGCACAAGCGGTGCAGTGGGAACCGGAGCACCGCACTCAGCCTGGGTGGGGGGGGCACAGAGTGAGGCCCCTCCTCAAAGCCGAAGCTGCCCCAGGACGCCCCCCAGTTTGTACCCAGGACTCTCAGGATGCCCTTAAACCCTCAGCCCACCCCCAAGCTGCACCATAATGCTCCCATCACGCCTCCCAGATTACTCCCAAGAGTAATTGGCTGCCTCCAAGCCACAAACTGCCCCCAGGTAGCCCCCCAGTTTGTCCCCCGGGCAGCCCCATATTGCCTCCTGAAGCACCTAACAGTCCCCTCCTCATACCCCAACCACCCCAAACTGTCTCAGGACCACCACGATTCGCGTCTAGAGTCCCCCAGCCTGTCCCCAACCCTAACCCACCCCCAAGCTGCCCCACATTGCCCCCAAGGACCCCTCCATACTTCCCTCAACCCCCTCCCCCCAAAAAACTGCCCCCGGGATGCCCCAAAGTGCCCCAGACCCCTCCTCACATTCTGACCCTTTCCACAGCTGTCCCCAGCACACCCTGTTTGCCCTGGGACCCTCCCAGCTGCCCCCAGCACCCCCCAAAATTGCCCCCAGCGCCCCCAAACTGCCCCCAGCAGACTTCAAACGGCCCTCGGAATCCCAAACTGCCTCGAGGGCCCCACATATTTCTCCAAAATGCCCCCAGGCTTCCAAACTGGCCCAGGAACCCCCCCCCCAACTGCCCCCCGGCTCTCCCAAAGTGCCCTTGGAACCCCACCAACACCTTCGAACTGCCCACAGGACCCCCCCGGAGCGCCCCCCGGCCCGTACATGTCGCGCCGGCAGCACCGAAGCGGGAGGCGGCGATCGGGGCAACGGGCAAAGTCCCCGACACCGCTGCCCACAACCAAGATGGCGCCCAGCGCTACCTCACCATACGGCACCGTTGCCAGGCTTGACCTTTATCAAGATGGCGCCCAGGTTGTTTCCGGTATACACCGGAAGAGCGCAATCGTGGCGTAGATCTGCGACGGAAGAGAGCCTGCCCAGTTTCCGGTGTGCGCCGGAAGAGGCGCAAAGTGGAGGGGGGGAAGATGGCGGACAGCGTGAAGGGGCGGCCCGCGGCGGCGGGGCCGGGCGGGAAGGTGCTGACGGCGGAGCAGGTGCAGGGCGGGGCTTGGGGATGGATGAGGGAGGGCTCCGGGATCCCGTGATGACACCCCGCGGTTGTCCATGCAGGTGGTGGCTCGGTTCAACCGGTTACGGCAGGAGCAGCGCGGCCTGGCTTCCAAGGCGGCGGAGCT